CACCCTAGGTTAAAAGTAAAAGGATGGAAGGAGATATCCCAAGTCAATCTAATCAAAAGAAAGCTGGAGGGCCGGCCCGGTGGCGCACTGGAGAGTGCGCCGCTTGGGAGTGTGGCGGCGCTCCTGCCGAGGGTTCGGATCTCATGTGGAGACTGGTTCCCGCTCACTGGCTGAGCGTGGTGTGGGCGCAACACCGAGGGTTGCGATCCCGTTGCCGGTCCCCCGTACGGGCACGACACCGAGGGTTGCGATCCCGTTACCGGTCAGTAAAAAAGACAAAAAGGAAAAGAAAAAAAGCTGGAGTGGCTATATTAATGCCAGACAAAGTGGATTTCAAGTCAAATAATCTAGGAATAAAGAGGAGGGTCATTTCATAATGTTAAAGGGATCAGTTAATTCTTTATAGTGGACCAATTAATGAACGTAATAACATGGACACAGGGTTCCAAAATGTACAAGGTAAAAACTGATAGAATTGCAAGGAGAAACAGATAAATCTATAATTATAGTCAGAGATTTCAACACCTTCTCTCAGTAAGTAATAGAGCAAGTAGATAGAAAGTTGGTAATAATATAGAATACTCAGCATAATCAGCCACCTTGACCTCATTGACGTTTACAGAACACTCCACTGAGAAACAGAACACATATTCAAGTACCCACACAGCAATTACCAACCATATTCTAGGCCAAAAAGTGAATCTCAATAAATTTAAAAGGATCCCAAACATATAGACTATGTTCTTGGATAACAACAGATTTAAATTAATAGTTAATAACAGAAAGATCTCTGGAAAATCCCCAAATATCTGGAAATGAAATAATATACTTCTAAATTCATAGGTAAAAAAAAAAAAGGAAATTATGAAGTATTTCAAACTTAATGAAAACAGAAATACAATATATCAAAATTTCTGGAATGCAGCTAAAGCAGGACTTAAAGGGAAATTTATAGTACTAAAATACCTGTACTAAAAAAGAAAGTTCTCATATCAGTGACCTCAGCTTCCACCTTAAGAAACCAAAACAAACAAACAAACAAACAAACAAAGAAAACAGAGACAGAGAAAGTTAAATCCAACTTAAACAAAAGAAAGAATAAAGAGTAGAGTAGAAGTTAATTCTAAAAAGTGAAACAATAGAAAAATCAATGAAACCAAAAACTGATTCTTTGAGAAGATCAATAAAATTGAAAACTTCTGTTCTGACTGATCAGTAAGAAAAAGAGAGAAGCCATGAAATATCAATATCAGGAATAAGAGGTGAGATCACTTCCTACTCTGCAGATATTGAAAAGATAATAAGGGAATATTATGAACAACTTTATATGATACGTTCAACAATTTAGGTGAAATGGACAGTTCCTTGAGTGATAAAAACTACCAATGTTCACACACGAAAAAAAAAATAACCTCAGCAGTCATATATCTATTAACTAATTCAACCATATACAAAAATAGTACATCATGACCAAGTGGGATTCAGCACTTGAAAATCATTCAGTATAATCTACCATATCAACAGACAAAAATGAAAACTCACAATAGATGCAGAAAAAGCAAATCCAACATCCATTCCTGATTAAAAACTTTCAGCAAACTAGAGAAAGGACAGTCTTTTCAACAGTCCTGAGAAACTGATTATTCATAGGCACAAAAAATAAACTTTGAATTGTCTCACACCATATACCCAAATTAACTCAAAACGGATAATAGACCTAAATGCAAACCCCTAAAACTATAAAATCCTTGTGAATTTGGGTTAGGCAAAGATTTCTTACATATTACACCAAAAGTATGATTCATTTTAAAAAATTGATAAATTGGACTTCCTCAAAATTAAAAACTTCTGCTCTTTGAAAAACTGTTGAGAGTGAAAGGACAATCCACAGACTCAGAGAAAATAATTTACAAATCACACATCTGATAAAGGACTTGTATCCAGAATAAAAAGAACTCTCAAAACTCAATAGTAAGAAAACAAACCAATTAAAAGTGTGTTCCTTAAAGAAGATGGACAGATGGCAAATAAACAGATGAAAAGATGCTCAATATCATTAGCCACCAGGGAAATACAAATTAAAACCACTATTCAGTATACCACTATTAATAGACCTATTAGAATGTCTACCAGCCACCAAAATAAACAAACACACAAATAGAATGTCTAAAATTAAAAAGGCTGGCTATACCAAGTGTTGGTGAAGATATAGAGCATGCGTGGATGGGAATGTAAAATTGTACAATCACTTTGGGAGTTTCTTAAGTTAAATGTATAGCTACCCCATGACCAAGCCACTCCATTCCTAGGTATTTACCCAAGAGAAATAAAGTATTTGTCTAAAGACTTATGCACATTTTTTATATCAGCTTTATTTGCAAGAGCCCCAAACGGGAAACAACCGAAATGTCCATGAGCAGGTGAATGGATATACAAACTGTGGTACATTCACACAATGGAATACTACTCAGTACTAAAAGTACTATTGATAAACCCACAAGAAGGGGGAATTTCAAAATAATTATGCTGAATGAAAGAAGCTAGACAAAAAAGCATATGATTCCATTTATATTAAACTATAGGAAACTCAAGCTAATCTGTAGCCACAGGAAGCAGAGGAGTGCTTGCCCAGTGATGGGGGAAGGGTGACATGAGAGAGGGGACACTTTTGGGTATTTATGATGTTGACTGTGGTGCTGGTCTCACAGGTGGATACAAACGTCAAAATGTATCAAATTGTAATTGCTGGATTATTCTACATCAACTGAACCACAATAAAGCTGTTTTAAAAAACACTGAGCATGGCTCAGGTGCAGCTCAAATGACCAATCCTCCCGGGGATGCCAGCACGCACATGTCCTAAGACACCAGTAGCAGTGCGTGGAGCAATAGGAATAGTGGGGCAGCAGGGGCCTCAGATGGGCAGAGCGCTAACCCTATTCACCTGCGACACCGGCCCGAGTGGGACGCTCAGCCCGGGCTTCGCTGAACCCGGGCTCCAGGCCCGGACTAGGGGATCCCAGAAGGCGGAGCAGGGGCTGGGCCCACCTAGGGGCGGGCCCCGTGGCCTCACAGCCCAGTCCGCCCCCAGCCCCTATGACCTGCCTGGTCTCAGAACCAAGACGCGTCTGCCCCGACTGAAAGCCCCGCCCCGGCCCGGCAGGCCCCGCCCCCTGCCTTCCCACCCACCCGCTCCGGCCTCATCACGTACCCTGCCCCAGGCCCCGCCCTGCCGCCAGTCCCCGCCCCGCGC